AATGCAATGAAGTGTGACTTTCATCAATGCAAAGCACACGTTTATTTAATGTAGATGCAGCTGTAGTTTCTTTGATAGACATATGTGTATAATGCAATCACGTATAATATGCATTAGGCAAGGACAATAAAAACATTTTTTTCTTAAAGTTATGCCTATTACTTCATTGCTGAAATCTTTTATAACAATTATCAGTAGTTTGTTAAAATCAAATCTATATTTCAGTAGTAGAAGTCACTATTGAGAGTGTTTTTATTTTGTAGTCTCCTCTTTTTACAAGATTGACATATCCAACTTTCAATTATTGCATACAAGTATTTCGGATTATGTCTGGTAAGTGCTGAATGTCAATTTATTTTATTAATGAATCTCTAAATGTAGCTATTTCTCGTTCATATTAGAATGAATCGTACAATAAATTAACGTGTTATTACTAAGGTGCTCAGAGAGAGTGAACTTCGATAATGAAAATGAATATTTGTTGTGAGATCAACTCAAATATGATATAAAGAAAGGGAAAATAAATATACTTTTTTTTGTTTACTCGATGTTTTATATCTCATAATGAAAAATGGAAATTTTCCATTTTATTCCGTCATTTTTCACAGAAAAACAAGACTTTTGACTGATTTAAAACAACAATTAATATAAATAATCATTCATAAAAAACTGTATATTTTCTTTTTCGATTATTATTATATAGCAGAAAATAAAATTTTCATAATTTGATTATTTATTTTATATTAGTATTCAAATAAATTTTGTTATTTTTCGTATTTTTAAATTTTTTACAAAATGAAGTTATTTCATAGGGACACTTCTAGACTCATATGCAAATAGAATTTATTATAATTATTAAATTACTATTTAATTTATTCATTGTTTAGCAACAGTTAATAACCTTTTTACCAGTTCATAAACGATGGAATAAGGTCGAAACATTCGTTTCTTTTTGTGCAGTATATAAAATCAAATAAATAACAACTTCATTTATTTTCTATATCTAAAAAGACATCACTATTTTACCAAATATCACTATTCGTTTATTCATGCACTAAAGTCATCTTGGCAAATATCTTACATTTACAAACTGTTCATATGACAGAATTCACATTTTTGTTTTTGACATATAACCGATAACATTAAAGAAAATGAAATCAACAGCTCAACATATTTACACGAGAGACACAAGAGTTACCAATTTGTCGATAACTCAATCTCTTACAAACATTTTCATGTATATGTTGGAGGAGAAATTAAAATTTAGGAAAATTTAAAATTCTCCTAGGAAAAATTAAAATTTTAATTTCTCCTAGGAGAACTTGAAATTTCAATTTTTACTGGATTTTTTCAAGGAAAAATTAAAATTTTAGTTTCTCCTAGGAGAAATTAAAATTTAAGTTTTTCCTATAGGACAATTTTAAATTTCCCTGGACACATAGGATAAACTTCATATTTTAGTTTTTCCTATAGGAAAAATCAAAATATCTTTCACGTCCGATAGAGCATCAGAAGAAAAGAAAAAAATATATTTAAATAAACGTTGCGCGCATTACTTAAATAGACTTTTTCGTATCACGTTCTTATTACTATGGAAGACTTTTATAAATTACTTGATGACCATATCCAAGGTTTAAATCACAAGTTTCAAGATAAATTTTGTATAAGACAGTTATTGTATGATGACATAATTTTGGTTCTCCAAGATGGTTGGGGAGACTCTCAACTCAAGTTTTGGGTACTTAAAAATTTCAAATTAATCAAAATCGGTGATCAAAATGTTGTATATGACATTAAATCTAATAATCCTATTGTGACATACGAAAACCTGTACATAAAAATTAAAGAATGCCATGAAAGAGTTGGCCATCACGGTCGAGACAAGACTTGGTCAGAAGTATGTAGCATAAATGTTTACAATCGAATCAAATGATGTATTTCTTAGGTGAAGGATCAATATGCATGGATTCCATTTGAAAGCGTAAAACTGTTTATTTCGCAGTGTGATATATGCTGCAATAGAAAACCATTTCCAAAACCGACAGCTAGTAAGTTATAGCTAATGCGAGAATAAAAATAAGCATAGTATGTTTTTTTTCTATTTAAGCAAAACCTATCGTGTCCATTGGATATCTTACTCGCTTACAAATGGATTTAATCGATATGAGGAGTATTGGGGATGGAGAATATAAATGGATTCTTCATACCAAAGATCATTTTACTAAATTTTCCTGGTGCTATCCGCTAAAAACCAAGGAAGCAGAACCAGTTGCTGAAAAGCTCCTACAACAATTTTATCTGTTTGGAGCACCACGTATTTTACAAAGCGATAATGGCAAAGAATTCGTGGCTAAAGTTATAAGGGTACTAAGTTTCACTTACTGCTCACGTTGCATTATTCAACAACTTCTTTTGCATTGTATAGGATTTAAAAAAAACATGGCCTGACCTCATCATTATCAATGGCCGTCCTCGTCACCCCCAAACGCAGGGATTAGTGGAGCGGGGCAACCAAACACTTGAATCAGCTCTTGGAAAATGGATGGAATCAAATAATCGTAAAGATTGGTCGAACGGTGCGTATATTCATGCATTAACAACCATCTATAAAAGGCTGTTGAGTTTAGGTTTGCCACAAGTGATTTATTCGATTAATACAAGTTCAGCTAAGTCTACTGATAAATCACCATATGAGGTAGTTTTCGGTCAGAAAGCAAGATGTGATATCGCAATGTGGCAAGTTTTATCAGATCAAGGTATTTTGGATGAGGAAGATCTTCCATATAATTTTATGGATGGGCTAAAAGAATGCCAGGAGCGTGAAGGTGAAGGTGAAGTCATAATGTCTTCTAATATTGGTACATCATCAACTTTCCTAGAACAAACACCTCAAACATTATCAAATTTTTCTTTATCACCGGCATCACCACCTGTAGTTCACATTCCCTCGAACAAAAAAAGACGACAAGCCAGACTATTTTCTAATGATGAATTTTTATCTATCAACAAAGGTAAAACCAGGTGATATAGGCTTCTAAGAGAAAGTTTCATATTATAATTTCTTTAGGTGAAACATCTGACAGTAGTGATACTCGTTCAGTCAATAATCATCAACAAATACGAGCTGAAGCTGAAGCGTCCTATATGGCTAATATTGTGAAACGACAAAAATTGTTCAACAATGCATTACGTAAGCATGAATACAAAGTTGGTAATTTGGTTGGTTTAAAAATCGACAAAGTTGACAGAACAAATGTTACACCTAAGATATTGCCATGTAAAATAATATCGATTCAATCAGCATCAAATGATATGGATACTTATCAATTATGTACAACAACATGCGTAATCTCTTCACGGTTTCAAGTGCTCGATCTGTTGGATTTATCCAATTGTAACTTTCGTGACTTACGTGAAGTCGATTCAACAGCTTTACCAACAATGACATTCATTCAAGCATGCAAAGCGTATGTGAATGCAGGATTAGTTACTCCTGTTGAAGTATGTAATTGTAATGGTAATTGTTCAACAAAAAAATGTTCTTGTCGGGCAGCAAAAATACAATGTGGTACCAAATGTCATTCGTCAAAAACGAAACCATGTTCAAATGTCTAGTTTAACCTTTGTATTTTTTGAAGGATAAAATTAATAAAGTTTATATTATGTGTTCAGGAATATTTAAAATTGTCCTATAGGAAAAACTGAAATTTAATTTCTCCTAGGAGAAACTAAAATTTTAATTTTTCCTTGAAAAAATCCAGTAAAAATTGAAATTTCAAGTTCTCCTAGGAGAAATTAAAATTTTAATTTTTCCTAGGAGAATTTTAAATTTTCCTAAATTTTAATTTCTCCTCCAACATATATATTCAAACGTTATATACGTAATTTTTTTTTTCTTTATCTTCTGATCACGTGGTCATTTTGTTCTCAAAACGTGACCGGAAAATCACATCCTAACTAATTAAACAAGATCGTTAGGCTTGTGATCCTGGTACCTAGTCATGTTAGACAATAGATATAACATGATATGTCCCCTCCCCTTGGTGTCACAACCCTCTTCTATAATCCAAAACACGAACGTTCAAAATGATATTTCAATTGATGATCAAGATACACCAATCCCCACCTCACCTCCACTTAATCAACAACATTATGATTCTCAACATCAAATTTTTAATGAACAAGGTCAAGAGATCGGATCATTGAATGTTAATAATAATGATGAATTTATATTAGTTAAAAGAAACAAAAAAAAAATTAAAACAAATCATCAACATTATCAACATCATCAACAGTATCAACATTATCCACAACATCATGTATTGCACCAGCATCATCACCAACCTGACGCACCTACAAACAAAAACATTATTACAACTAATACATCACTTCAACGTAATTCTCTTTTACCAAGTACTAGTCCAACATATTCACATAATCATGAAATGGATATGAAAAATGTTATTTCGGAACAAGCTATTCGATTTGCACAAACACGTTTTCCCTTCCCACCCATCATTATCAAATTTGCACAAGATGTCAACGAAAATTTTATTATTAAAAGTATCGAAAAACATTTCAACGATCACTTTTATATGGATTTATCAATTGCTGGACACAGATTGAAAGGTAAACGTGATCTCATTTTGTTTGCAGGTAACAGAGAATCATTTGTTTTACTTTATGATGACAAAAAATGGCCTCAACATTTAAATTCTATTGTTTTTGAAAAAGCTGGTGCTAAACATCTTCCTGCTCAATTTTCTATAATATTACGTAATGTTCCAATTGATATTAATATTGATGAACTATTGGTGAACATAAAAAATGATTATCCTGATGTAGTTAATGCTTTTCGTATTTCAAATGAAGATGAAAAACCAACAACTTTAGTACGACTCGATATTAAGTGTATCAAAATTATTGACGAACTATTGAAGAAAAAATTTATGTATGCTAATAATATTAGATATACAGTTACTGAATATATTAGCCCCGCTAAAGTGCTTGTCTGCACGAAATGTTATCAAATAGGTCACTTTAGAGGTGTATGTAAAAGTGAACTTCAAATATGTAGAACTTGTGGTACCAGTGTAATGAATGTTAAAGATCATCAATGTGATAAAATTAAACGATGCATTCGTTGTAATGGTCCACATGAAGCAAGTGATAATCATTGTCCATTAATAAAAGCATACAGAATAGATTTAACAAGATCGTTATTATCAACTTCTTCTAACATTACAGGTATGAACCAAAATGTACAACAAAATTATATATATAACAAAAATGATTATCCTCAATTGAATGGTAATAAAGATGGTCATCCATGGTATAATGATTCACTTACAGCTACTAATCGACGATTAGACGAACTTGTACAGAAGATGGACAAGTTGAATCAAAATATCAATCGGATAATGGATTTTAATAGTAACTCTTACAATCAACACATTCAAATTCATCAGTTAATTGTTAAACAAGATCATGATATTCAATTACATCAAATAGATTTATCCTTTCAACATGATTTTGTTAGCCAGTTCGTATCACCAATATGTCAATTGATGCTTGATGTTATTCCGACGATGATAAAAAAAAAATCTAATAAATGATAAAACAACATTAAGACAATCATTATTATCCACGTGTGAAAAATTAGGCAATGAATTACCACAATGGATGAAACGATATGCTGATAATGAAAACATTAAAATGAAATTAAAAAATGATTTTATAGAACAAAAACAAAAACACCTAGAAACATCGAATCCCGGTAATAATTCTCAACCAATCCCCCAACTATAGTTAAGGCAGAGTTTTCTAAACTTTCGCCTTATGCTTCTTCATTTTATCCCACTGTTAGAAACAAGAAAAAAGGATTTGACATAGATTATGCTCTTTCTCTTTCTTCTTCATTCTTGTCGATCTTTGATTTTCATCTCTTATCAGATATTGTAAAGGAATGGTACACTTTTCCTACGCTCCCTGCCTGCTTCTCAGCTTGGAAGAATTATGATCATCCGTGTTCATATTCTCCTATTTCTAATTTGAACTTCCTATTATTCAACGTGAGAGGATTCGAAGCACGCTGGCATGAAGTTCTTCTTCTACATGAGAAATACAAGGTAGACTGTCTGATATTAGTAGAAATAGGAGCAATCAAATATTCGTCAATACAAAAGATCTTCCCCAACCTTAAGATCTTTTATCAAAAAGGGGAAAATGCCTGGGGAGGTGTGGTAATATTGATTCGAGATAGTATACCTTGTGAGCGAATACGGTGTAACGTTCCAAACGTATGTGTTGTAGACATAAAGTCTGATAAAGCATTTAGAATTATTGGTGTATATGCATCCGGTAGCAAATCATGGAAATGGGAAGATATGTCGCAATTTGCTACTGAGTCTTGCTGTTTTGTAGGTGACTTCAATGTTGATATTGAAGATAAATATGATATGACAGCAGCAAGAAATCTTCTAAACTGGTCTGATTCCCTATCACTAGGTCCAATACTTCCCTCCTCCTAAACCTCCCTTCGTTCTGAGCGTACAATCGATTATGCTTTTACTAGGGGAATCCCTTTATCACTACAAGCAACCGATGCTAACACAACTAGTGATCATAAACCTATCATAGGAGTGATCACCCATGACTATAATGATAACACGATAGCTAGCAGCACCCATTGGAGAGTATTCAATGTTTTTCTTTCCCTAGTCTCCGATTTCTGGAATCAGCAATGGGAATACCCCAGTTACGAAGACAATTACACAAATTTTGTTACCTTTCTTAATAGATTGAAAGCCCGTTGCACCTCATACTTTCCAATTAAAAAATAGCGGGCTGCCATTCCCAAAGACTTACGACAAAAGCTCTCGTATGTAAGAGCTCTCTCGTTTCGGCACAAAAGAACAGGAGACTGTCTACTATATCAAAAGATCAAAGAGTTGAAAAGGAATAATAAACAAGAACTTATGACCTTACGACGAAATCATCTGAACACAATAATGAAGAATCGAAATGCGCCCAATTCATCATCATCCTCTACACCCTTTTGGTCTAAGCTAAGAAAGAATTTTAAAAATTGTAGTTCTCTAAATGCTTTAATAGATGATAAAGGTGCAATAATAAAAGATGTGAATACAATGCTCGAGATGGCTGCTTTGCACTATGAGAACTTATTTACTGAACCACAAATATATCGCCCTCATCCGTACGTAGACAGTCCTGAGATTTTATGGGATAATCACGATGATACTATCCCCCTCATTAAGCTGCCCGAGTTATTATCAGTCGTGTCCAAACAAAAGAAAAAATAGTCTTGCGACGCGAATGGAATCTCTTCTTTCTTGTTTCAATTCATCCCGCCCAACTACTGGGCAAATCTACTTAAATTGTTCAACCATTCAATCACTTCGTTCTTCTTCCCTTCTTATTGGAAACAGGTTAAAATGAAGCTACTGGCAAAAAAGGATCCGGTGTGTCGGATTGTCGATACTCGCCCTATCTCTCTGCTAGACGTCTTTCTCAAGGTGCTAGAGAAGCTAGTATTGAATCGTTTTCAGACTGTGTTGAATAATAGAGGAATTCTCCATGAGTCACAATCAGGTTTTAGATCGAATATGCGCTTACAATCACGTGTACTTCTCCTAATCGATCAGATTTCTTCTCTGATGTGTACTAGTGCACCTACTGCTACCCTATTTATCGATTTTAAGCAAGCGTTCGACCAACTCTGGTGGGTTGGTTGCTTAAGAAAGTTAGAGAGATTAGGTATACCCAAGGTATACATCAGGTGGATTGATGCTTGGCTAAGAGACCGCCAAGGCTTCATAGAGATGAACGATAAAAGGTCAAGATCCTTTCCTATTCTACGAGGAGGTCCACAAGGATCCTGTTTAACACCATCTATCTTTATAACCTACCATAGTGATATGTGGACATTTCTGGAAAATTCTTTACCCAATTTTTTTGCGGATGATCTAGCTTGTGTAATTGGAGGAGCGATGGGTGTGAAATACACCCAACAGTGTGTTGATCTTGAAATACGCTTTAAGAAACTGCTCGATCAGCACGAATACTACTCGGTGCTGTCAGTACAGCCTATAAATTATACAAAAACCGAAGCTATGTGGAGTGCACGAGCGATAGGAGGACCAAAATTTGATATATCCTGTAGTGAACATAAACTTGTATGGGTCAACTCATTTAAGTATCTAGGGTACCATATCTGCCCTAAATTAGGGTGGACGAAAATGATTATGATCACAAAAACGAAAATTCGTCAAAGAATAGCTATTATTAAGAATTGTCGGATAGCTGGAACATCCAATTCTGAATTTAGAAGAATTTTGTTCTCAGCGTACGTACTTCCCCTGTTCACCTGGCTTTTCGCTATTGTCCCACTTTTAACTAGCCGGCAAGCTGATGATTTGAATCACTTCTACTTTTCTTGTCTAAGAAAAGTTATGAATGATTATTATTGGAACGATTTACTTTTTTCTTTATTGTACAATGAGAAATCCCTGGATGATAAATGTTACAATTACTGGAAGAAGTTTAGAAGCGCCTTGCAAAGTTCGACTGATGGCCATCTGTTGTTCGAGCCTCTT